AGGAACCTTCCTGTGTTTGTGCCCATTGCCTCTGGTCCTGTCGCTGGGCACCACTGGAAAGAGGCTGGCTCCATCTTCTTACACTCTCTCTTCAGATATTTATAGACCTTGATGAGGTCGCCCCTTGAGTCTTCTCTTTTCCAGGCTGGGCAGTCCCAGCTCTCTCAGCCTGTCCGCACGGGAGAGATGCTTAATCACCTTTGTGGCCCTTTGCTGGACTCGTGCCAGCTCTCTCTATAAAGTTAGAGTTTTAGATGCAGGAACAGAAATAACGGTTTACAACCATTCCAATCTATTTCATGCACTCTTGATTTGTCTTCCAGCAATTCATGGAGAATAGCAGCATAACTGCTTGTTACAATGAACTGGTTCAAATAGAACATGGGGAAGTGCGATCTCAGTTCAAATTACGGTATGTAGAAGTGTAAGAAACTGCAAACGTCAACTGCTTGGTCTACGTAATCATATCAGGTTACTTTCTGCTTCTTCCCAGCTACTCATATATGTGCTTTGCATCTGTGTGTTAACTAATATACTATACCCTTATTTCCTTCTCCTATTATTTGTGAAGGACAAACTAAAGTGCCTTAGTAACTGGTACCCTGAGAGATGGTCTGTGTGTGCTTCATTCACTGGTGGTTTAAATGATGGCTTTCCTTAATGCAAAGTGCAGAACATGACCTTCATTCTGATGCTTGCTTATGTCCCGTATGTCTTCAGGTGCCCATATTGAACTGGGAACATTCTAGCAGCCATCACTACCAGCGTTACAGGCAGGGCAAAACCCTTTAGCCGAAATACTGCAGAGCAACAGCTTTGGCTCATTTAATTGAAAGGGCAGCATTTTAAAATTGCTGTCTTGTGTGTAAGGTTTATGGGTTGCAAATTTATAAGTCTTCACGAAGTCATTTGTGATCTCATGTATGTGAGATTTCATATTTTATAGGTTGAGCTGAATGCAATCTTGATCCGGCTCTTCATACCCTGAGATTTTATTTTCTTGCATGGGAAACACTTGGTGGACCAGGAGCACAGTTTTTTATCTTAGTGAGAATTTAAATGACTTTAATTTCCTTATCACTTTTTCTTTAATGTGACTAATTTTGTATTTAATACAAATGCTTATACACACATTTAAATAAGTTTGGAAAAAAAAGCCCATGAAGTTGAGCATCATGCTGAGAAGATGTAATTTCCTGGTTGTTATAAATTAGTTCCAGTTCCATCTACAGAAAATAGTATCAATTCTCTACAGGTTTCAGTGCCCCTGTTTAAGAAGTAGATTTTTCTAAGGTTTTCTTTGCAAACTGATCTGTAAAGTGATTACAGTAAAATTTTCATGGAGAAAAATAGAATTTGGACTCACACAATTTTCAATAGGTGTTTTCCAAAACTCATCAGGAAAATAAAGCAGCTGCAAAATTTTAGAAGTTAATTAAGTGTTATGGTGGTCCTGACTTTGTTGTTCAGTTGTAAATGCAACATAAAATGAGTGACTTCTCAATTAAGCTAGCATAGATCAGAAACATCAGTTTTATATAGGAAGATTAAGCTGTCATTCATAGACAAAATGCTTGTAGTTTATGTTTCATTTCAAGAACAAGATGCAAATACCACCTGAGCATCTCTACATGAGTGGTATCAATTATGAATGCAGATAATTAAAAGTCCAACACGAGGAGCATGATTCATACTGGCTACCATATTTTTCTGCAAGTTCGTTAATATCAATCACTGAAAAAATCTTAAAATTCATTAAAATCGGAAGGAAACACCGTCAGTCCCCAGCAGCATTTCATCTACTGACAGTTCTTTCATCCGTATTGTTTATGGAAACAGGAGTATACCACCCACTTGTAATTCTGTTTGCTTTTGCTCTCTTGAATGTAGTTACATAAACTGTAGGCCTACTTCCTTTTAATTTATGTAATAATAACATTATTTAAAATGTATTTTGTGTTATCATGTCTTTTGTATATTGGTAATACACATTATATGTATTTATATATATGTTCACATCGTTTCTGAACATGACTGCTTTGGGAACCTTTGGCAGCATTGCACAATACTATAAAAAGAAAGGTGGTATTGTGGGGTTTGCTACTGCCTCTGCCAGATGCAGTCCCAGAATATTTAAGTAGTTTAAAGACTTTAACAGATGCAGGCCCAGGATAGTTAAACAGTTAAATACTCATTGTCAGGTAACAATCACAAACAACGCTTATGAGGAATATTTGCACTAACATCTGGGGGCATGAAGTAGCCTTTTAAAAGCTAAACTTTCTGAAGAAGCATATTTGTAACTTGGAGAAGCTGATGTCTTGCAACAGAGGGTTTCTCCCTACCTCTGCCTGACCAGGCAGGTGCCCTAAATGAATTTGCCATTAAAAACTAAGCAGAACTAGTGTTTGCTAATGCTGTTTGGTTATAAATTGTTTTCATCCATGTGGTTTAATTAAGTGAGTAAAAAGTATTGCACTGTATGTCTATAACACTGGGTCTCTGATCTCTTTGCTGTCTCAGTCTTCTATACAGCTTTGTAAAAGTGAGACGGAAGAGAGCATATTTTCAGAAAGTTAATTGATGGAATTAAAACCAGGATATTTCAGGTGTTCAGGTAGAAGAGGAACATGGTAAAAAAGTAGGACTAGCCCAAGAAAGCAGTGTATAAGGTCATGTCAGTGGTCAAAAGTGTCTTTCCATTCCACATGGGGACTCCGCTTTTCCGTATAGTCTCTTCTGGTTTGAAGCTTGGTTGGACATCTGTGGGAGGTGTGTATTAATCAAAGAGGACATGGGCCATTTAAACTTGTAATTTTGCTGGGTTGGTTGCCAGATCAAATGCAAATACTAAGGTTTGAATAGTGCAAACATAGCTATGTGTTTTCTTGCAGAAAGTTTACGTAACGACATTTGATAGCAGCTGGCGTACGAGACGGGCATCTATCACCGAGATAAATTAGTTGTTTCACACAGCGCAAAATCACATTCTGGAGCTGGCTTGGACTGCTAGAAAATCACTTGTAAAATTACTTTGGGAGCTCCTTTTATTGTATGAGCTGAAATACTACTGTTGTCTTCTGTATACAACACTTTTTTCCTACAAAACCTCATTCTCACAGCTGCGTGTATGCCTCTGTGTATCCTATTTGCTTTGACTTACTTTCATGATAAGCATAACTAGCAATGTCCTGTATTTCTTAATTCTCTAGTCATTGGTATCTAATTCAAAGTCCACTATGCGTTCTGGGGGCAGGATGTTCCTTTCAGGTAATAACTGTATACAAGAACGTTAATGGATGGTGCATAGAAGGTACATAGAAGATAATTAGTTTGTGTTTAGTCCAAATCAAAGATGAAGTACTGACCTCTATCAAAGCAAGTATGCCTGGGTTGTCTTTTCTAGTATGCACTCTCTCTCTTTTTTTTTTTTTCTTTTTAGGATTAGGAGCCTGTATTAATGTTAATCACATCCTGTGTAAATTAAGCAATTAAATTTAAGCAATTTAAATTTTGCAGCAAGAAGGTAAGGCTTTAGTTTTCCTGCTCTAGTTCAAGGACAGCCCTGAAAAAAAAGGGAAATTAAGATCATTTTGGCCCGTGATAAAGATCAGGTTGTATGGAAATCAAGTCTCTGAATTATTACTCGGAAGGAGGAAAATGGATATTTTCCTGACTAGAACTTTGAGATGGCTTAAATTGTTTCCTCTAATTATGTTGTATTACGACTTCTTTGACAGTGCTGATCTATTTGCTGTATTGAAAACTTTGTATACTGCTGTGGTGATTTTTGCATTCCCTATCTTTAACGGTCACAAATCTTTCTTTTCTGATGTAACAGTCATTTGTTATTTTTACTGCTAATTGTTAGTTCCTGCTGTCTAGAGCATGTTTGGAGAAAGATATATACTATTAAGACGTTGCAGTACACACGAGCAATTTTACAATATGATCTGCAGTAAAAGCACATTAACAACGGGGATGTCTGAAGCTGAATTTCGTGAAAAAAATCATAATGGTGATAGTGACATGGTTTAGTCAAAACAACGTGCTACTTTGTGATTCATCTACTGATAAGTACAATATAATAATGTACTTATAGCAAGAAAAACATTCTAACAATAAAACTAATGTGAATCATTTGCTAATTTCAGGGCTTGTAATGCAGTATTTACGGCATTAGAGCATTGTCAGGAAGCTATAGAAATAACCAGTGAAGATCATGTCATTCAGGTAAGGGGAAAAAAGTTAACCACTGTGTAGAACGTGGAGAGAGGAACCCTAAAGAGACCTTTGGCAGTAGTTCCCATTCTATTTCAGTATTTTAGTTTTGTTGCCCATTAGAAAGCTCTGTGCAGTGAACTGCCTTATTTCTGGATGATGCACATTAATACCTGCTGAATTTTTAAGACTTTTCCTTCAGTAATTTTATTTAGATGATAATTTTTGGTAATGTTGCTTATGGTAAAACCAGCATGAAACCTGTAGCAGAACTGGATAACCTGTACAGTAAGGAGTTTTGTTCTCTTCCTGTGCTTTCTGATAACAGTTTACATATCACCCTCTCTGTTCAGCTCCTTAATTGAATACGATGTTTTACCGTTACATAGTATTTATATATGAAAAACTCTGAATTGTAGGTGTGTGTGGTTATGGCTTTAGAGTATAACTTGTAACTCTTTGATAGTTGTATGTGAGTAATTACCCTTTAAGTATGCTCTTTTTCATATTATCCTACAGTATTTTTTGTTTTGGCAGTACGTTAATCCAGCCTTTGAACGGATGATGGGGTATCATAAGGGAGAGCTTATTGGCAAGGAACTTACTGAACTACCAAAAAGCGATAAAAACTGTGCAGATATTTTAGACACTATCAACACATTTATTAAAAAAGGAAAGGTAAGCAAATAGAATAATCTCATGCTAAATTGCTTTAGAATTCTATTCTGCTTTATTTTTAATGCTCTAGGTTTAAGAACACAAGCTGTGGTTTTCATGAGTGCACACATAAGACCAGAATTCTGCTCCTCAGATGTCTCAGGAACACAACAGCCCATGCCTCAGACAAGTGACTACAGATCTATTTAGCTTTGCTTTTAGGATCTGACTGAACTCCTCTAAAAACCTGTTGGCTTAAGATCAATACAAGGACATTTTCTGTGTTTCTGTTTTGCTTAGAGCCCATGGAGCTTTTGTTAGTTGGAACATAACACTTTGTCCCTCAGTCAGTCTCTCAGGTGGCTGCATCATCCAACCACAAGGTTTAACCGTTCTGTCGTAACTGCAGAGCCTTCACTGACTGCAAGCTTTGAGCACCATGTGGCATAATCAGTTGTGACTAAAATATATCAGCACCCAGTGGGTTTTGTCTAACTATAGTTAGGATATCTGCAGTGCACTGTGAACTCCTGTTGTGGTGTGGATGGGCCACAAAAGCACTACATGTTCCTGGCCATATGTTCCCCTAATACATGCAGCAGTCTCCTATATCATCTCCCATGGGTTGCAGAAGTACCTGTCACCCTTCTCTATCTCACCCTCTGCTTCCTGAACTTTGAGGGGTTCTTGAACCTTTGAGTCGCTTCCAGAAACAATGAGAGATCTGGGGGGTCATTGTTGTTGGCAGGGTCACCTTGGTTCATTAGCAGTACCTGCACGCCATCCTTGCTTTGCTCCTCCTTGTTTATGCAGGCTGCCTGCTTAAAGACCCCGTGTGTCTTCTGCATCCATCCATCTTTGTCTGTGACAGAGAAGGTATCTTCCACCCGTTTTCTAGCTTCATCCTACTCTGCTGCCAAGTAGTTCCCTCCTTAAAACCTCTCCTCATTGAGGTGGTAAGGAGAGAGAAGCCTTCTGCTTTATCTTCCTTTCTTCTCCGATCCATACCAAAGGATAGCTTTTATCTCTGCATCAGTGGACTGTTTAAGGATGGTGCATATATGGCTCTTGGTTAGCCTGCAGTCCTCTTGATGCTTTCCTTTAAGCAGTAGGGATGGAGGGAAAATTGAGTGGCCGGTCAGAGAAATGGGCATTTGCATGAGGATAAAAGATGCCATGAAGAAATTGTTTCTTCCTTTTGCTGATCTAGAGTGCCTTGGATAGCCATGGTCGTGGGAAAACCGTCATGGAGTAAGAATAGGCTATAGGTTACCTAAGGTTGCTTGACCTTCCTTCGGTCACGGGCTTCTGAAATTTAGCATACGTATTTCTTGACGACGGACAACTTCAAAGCTGAATGGTGCTCAGCACAGACTTTGGTTCTGCTGCTCCCAGGGGAGATGTGTTGCAGCCACCACTGCTTATGGTGGTACCTAGCAAGCATGTTTGTAACCCCTCAAAGTAGATGATTCCTGAAGTTCTTTGTAAAAATTATATACTCTCTCAGAAGAGAAACATATTTACGCTGTCCTTACGTTAGCAAATGCCTGTTGAAAGTGCTACTCTGTATTAATACATTTTACACTATTTTAAAAAATGCAACCATGAAATAATATGTAGTTATTTATTACATAAGGACCATGTAATAATAAATGAATATTTGACTGCAAGCTATATAATCTTAGGTGCTGTCTCTGTTGTGTGTGTCTGCTTAGGAATGGCAAGGCGTTTACTATGTGAGAAGAAAATCAGGAGACAGTATCCAGCAGCAAGTGAAGATAACACCTGTGATCGGTCAAGGAGGGTAACTAATTTCCACAGAACATCATTTCTTTCTAGTTCTTAGGGCCTTCTATCTGCTTTCCCCATCTGTAAGTTTGAAATGAACCTCCATGTATTTAGTAGTAGGGTGATGACATAACTGCTGGCTTCAGAATAAGGAAAGTTGAGAAGGTCATGTTCTTTGCTGACCTTTGTCCATTTTGGTATCGTCATATGCTACCTAAAAGAAGTGTAAAGTCATAATAATTAATAGCGTTGCTGCTATAGATACCTGCAAGCTGATGTTTAGGTTCATGCGGCCATGCATTTCTTTATGAAGGTATCCAAACCGTTACCCAGTCAGCCGGAAGGACCAGCAGCCAGGCGACCCCCTTGCTTGTGTGCGTGCGTGTACGTCCTAAAACCTTTGCGGTGTAGCACGGGCACGTTGCCAAATTCTGCTCCCAGATGCGCAGGTGAATCCCTGCAGGAACAGAAAGATCAGGTGTCCTGGGACAAACACAGAGCTGTAACCCTGAAGGGGCGCGCGTCGCCCAGTCGTCTGTTTGGTGTTGGCTTCGGCATCTTGTTTCATGAAGCTGTGGAGACTTCTGCTTCAGAAACCAGCAGTGTACCGCTTCAATTATCTCTCCGCCATTTGATATGGTAACAAGTGATTATCTCTCTTGCTAGGAAAATAAGACACTTTGTGTCCCTCAGAAGGCTGTATTGTACCAACGAAAACAACAAACAGGTATCGTATTTCTTTCATATCGTAATCTTCATTGCTTTTACTAAACTCACGTTTTTTGGTTTAAAAATTCATATTTTTCCCAAGAGGAAAACTTGGGATTTTCATCCCAAGAGGATGAAATCTATATTGTCAACAAGATTCTCATTGATTGTTGGAGCAAGCAAGAAAACTTCAGCATTTGCATGGGCTGTTCTCCCATGTAGGGCTGCTGAGTGGAGAAAGGCTTTAGCTCTCTGGAGGGTGGATGTCACAGCTGAGTCTGTGATACTGTGGTGCAGCACAGACCGTAGTCCAAAGGGAGTTCAGGGGCTCTTTTCTAGAGCTGCTCTTGCCGATCTGATCTCGTGTACTTATGTCTAATAATGACCTATGTTCAGCTGTCACAAGGTTCCAACGTGTGGTTCTTGAATAAAGTGCAGCCTTCATGCAGGACCTGAGACATTGCATATTTATCAGAACATGTGTTGTGGAGGGGTGCAACCCAAGCCATAACCCAAGAAAACCAGCCGTAGCCACTGACCCCGGTCTCTGCAGTCCAGCCATTATCCACCCGAGCAGGTCCTGCAACACAGCTGGTGGCATGGGCAGCTCTTTACTGTCATCTGCTCCTGGTTCCCTCCCTCTGAAAGTGTCTGAAGCAAATGATCGTATCACACGCTTTGCCTCAAAAATATGCGAGTACGTGACACATAGAGTAAAGAAGTTTGGACTTTTATGATCAAAGGAGTGAAAACTATCTTTAGCCTGTGGTCTGCAGCAGTGAGAGAGAAAGTGTGGAGCACAGGAAGTAGCTGGCAACGTTTTAGACTGAGGATGTGCTTGGGAAACATGAGCTGTTTCCGTGTTCTTTTGTGTAGGGGTTATGTATCTTGGTTTATTTAGAATTTTCATGTGCTTTTACCCATGATGTGGCTAAAGACGCTTGGGCATAAAAGGTTTTTAGAAAGTCACTACTATTCCTAGTTGCCTCTACTTCAGTATAACAATATTGAATATTAACACATTGTTGGAAAAATTCTTTTATTGGAAGAAGCTCATAGGTGGCATTCCGTAAAATTTGACTGTTGAAACCATTCCACTTACAGAAGTTTTTGTGGGGACAGGTATTAACAAGGGAGAAATCTGCACAACTTTTGGAAGAACTTTTGAAGGTCTACCACTGAAAAACAAGGCTCAAAATGTTTTAAACTGACCTCATCCATAAACCATGGATTTTTAGTATTGGTTCATGAGCAGTTATTGGTAAAATAAAGCACTAACGCAATGAACTATAGATCTGAGGAGCTGTACATATTTGGTAAGCACAGGCAATATGGCCTTTGAAGGATTCTCCGTGGATGTAGAGATGTACCACAAAGGTTAAAGACCACAGCCTAATAGAAAGCATGGTATGGAGATTTAAGGTCTACTGGGGAAAAAAACAAGGTGCGTCCAACAGAACTAGGCAATTCCTCTGTTTCACTTCTGTGGTGGAAACATCTCCTGCCTGTAGCAGAGCACCAGTGAAAAATTCAAACAGCATCTTGGAATTTGGGGGTTCTGGGGTTTGGTTTTGGTTTGTGGGGCTTTGGGGTTTTTTTTTCATGTTAGATGGGCAGTGATGGCTATGTATTATATTCATAAGGCTTCTTGGAGTTATTTTTGTAGCAATACTAATGTGATGGTCTCAACCCTGACCAACATTTGTTTGACCAACACTGCAGTTTTCCTAAAATCCATGCCTGAATACTTGCAGCAGTAGAACTTTTCTCTGCTGTAAAAGAATATTAGGTTTCTTTTCAAGCCAAAGACAACTCTTTACAGAAGGATAAAAGAAAATCAAACAAACTATTTATTTAATTACAGAGCAGTAAAAGCTGTCATGATTCAAATTTTGATGCAAATGTCTAAAGTTTCACTGCATCGACATAATTATAAATGGCTTGAACTCAACATTCAGACACTGTATGTAGACTTAGAAACATCCTTACATTATTATACATCGTTTCACCTTAAAAAATGTAGATGTGTCATTGCTGACAGCCTCCGTAAAGGACAGTATGATTAGAGACCGCTGTGTAGGAACCTTCATGGATTTCTGTGCCAGATTTATCACATACAAAAATTAAGCACGTTAGATTTATGCATGGGGAAAAAAAAAATACATCTGAACGTGTAGTGAAGATTTATGAACGGTGGTTGACTGATATGTGACTATTCTGATGTGCTGAAGCCTAGGTAGTGATTAATGCTGCCTTTGTCAGTTTGAGACCTAGCAGGATAGAATTCAGTTTTTGCACATTCATAAATTTACAACAGAGGTGATGTTTCTCCTCTTAAGAACATATCAGCCCAAGATTAAGTGTGTAACTGCCCTCGTAACTTACCTTACGTGGCTGTTTCGGATCATGCCTGCAGAAGGGGTAAGAGAAATATTCAGAACTGAAGTGTGGTTTTGGGGGGTTTTTTAGTACAGCACTTAAAGGGCTGTGCTGATGTTTTCTGCCAGTTGTGCAGCAAACAGAGATATTCTTCGGCTCTGAGAGAAGCTCTAGTTTGGGATCAGAACGAGCAGTTCAGGTGCCTTGTGTCACTCTACCATATCTGATGAGCTTCCTGGATCTTACTGTCTTTGGACAAGATGATTTCTCTTAGAGTTCTTGCACCATTACAAGAGAGGTGTTTAAGCTTTTAAAATCAGTTTTCTGGAGGAAGTATCGTTCCTTACACTCCCTCAAACAAGATTTATGTAGAGCATGAGCGCAGGATTTCCCCTTCCTTTTTTTTTTCCCCTTCTTCTTCATTACAGAAAGCCACTCCTGAAGTTTGTATTTTTTTCCTTTCCACTCTCTTTCCTTTTCACCCTCTTTCTCTCCTTCCCCGATAGCAGAAAGGAAAAAAAAAGATGGGAGGGGTACAAGAATGATGGAAAAGAGAATTTGTATCATTCTTTTCCTTGCTTTCCTGAATAATCCCTGTAAGGACCTCATGGCAGGCACTGTCACAAACTGATATGGATGATAAAGAGTGCATAAGTGCAACCTTCCCGTATTCTTTAGACTCACAGGTTGCAACCATGGATTTCACGCTTCCATGCAATCTAGTGCTTTGCTGTAGGTAGGTGATGGATTTGGTCGGAGGAACCGATCACCATAGATTAGATGGCAGCACTGGACTCCTAAATGCCATACGTAATGCGTGACGTGTAACTGCAGTGTCAAGCACCGAAGTTTATTGATGTGAAGTGGAGGGTATGTATACCTTCTCTAGTGAGTACAGTAAAAAAAGTCATGCATCCTTTTCAGTCCTTTTCAGTGTCTCTGTTAGCTATACCTAAATATATGTCATATGCTAATTTTAGAGGGCAGACCTGAGGATCTGAAACTTCTGCTCAGTTTCCCTGTTAACAGCAAGATACTTCCTTGTAGCCACGTAACGAAGGAACAGAGATATTAAACTGCCATGTATTGGACAGACTGTGCTTTTGTTTCTGAGCAGGATGAAAAAGAAGAGGAGCATTTAATCTGTCTTACTTGTAGACCAAGCTATAGGTGTAAACTTTAAGATGGTGGAAATATCCTACTGAAATTCTAAGAAAGATTGAAATATCTATCGGTTGAGCTACCCAAGATGTTTCAGAACCACAAAGAATTAAGATTTTGTGTTTAATTTTTTCATTCACGAGAAAGATTAAAAATTACTTGGAAATAAAATAAGTTCTGACAGATGACACCTAGCTCTACCCTTCAGTTGCTGGAGAGTTGTTTTTGCGACTGGGTTTTTTGATGCCCGGTTTATCAGTGACCCATGAAAGGCTGCATGCAAAATTAGCTTAGCTAGCACTAAGAAAAAGATTTTTAAATTACTGTACAAAGGGCAAAAATTAACATTTTGGGTTTTTTTTTTCTTTTTGTGTTTTATTTCTGGAATCTTTCAGGTTCGTATGCAATTTATGCACTACCTAAAAATGAATGTGGGTTCTCTTGCAGACACAGGTACTCAACAGGAACTTAGTACATAAAAGCACTACGTATCTGTGATTTCCTGCGTTGCATATCTGTTTACTTTCATATTTCTAATTACACCTAAAGAAGAGTCTTTGCCAAATACTTTTTTTTAAAATAACTGAACAGTAAATGTTGGGTTAGGACATGTTGAATGTAGACCTTTTAAAACCCTTTTGTATTCTTTTTTCCTTACATATATGTATTTTACTCTTGGTGCAACTTCAGCCCTACAAGAGTCACCAGGATGAGAAGTACACGGGAGACAATTCTCAGCCAGGTTAGAATACTGTCATTTACCTTTGTGTACCACGCTGCTTGAGGTCGTGGCTGGGTGCTTTGCTGGTACAAAATGTTGTCTCTTCCCTCTGTTGAGCCAGTGGTCAGAGCAGATGGCCAGTGATGGCTGCCAGCTGCTCCGATGTCACACCACGAAATGGATTTGTAACCATCGCTGACAAGTCAATCTCCTGTCCAGAGCTCTTGCCGGGCGTTCACAGCCGAGGTGCATCGCTCTCATTGTACTAGAACGCTGTGCTGATCCTGGAGCTGGTGGGCCTCGGCAGCCCTTTGTGTTCGAAATTAATGGGGGACTGTGCCGATTCGTGCCAGCAGATCTGCCCTAGTGCTTCCAAGGTCAGGGCCTGTCAGCGGGCCATCGGTTTGGCCCCGCGGGGGGCTAAGGCAGCTGGCCGTAGCGTCCAGGCTAGAGCTGGTCACGTCCAAGCTCTCAGGAACTACTGCAGATAGCTCTTGAGTGAAGGGGTGGAGTGTAAGGGGGCAATTTCTTCCTCCAATGCTGCGAAATGCCTGGAGTAGCATTTCCCTGAAGAAAGAGGTGCTAAAGGCCAATTTCAAGCTTATGATTCTAGCGATCTCAGCCAGATGCAGCACGGCTCTCTTAATTCTGGGTCCACAGGTTCTCGTGCCTTGTTACCTTGCGGCACCCAAGGCCCTTCCTACTGTGAAAGACCGGGCAGCGTTGCTGTGCGACGTCAGGCAGCCTCTGATTTTCACGTGGGAGGAGGATATAGCATACCAAGTGCGTGGGAAGCGACTGCTTGACATCCCCTTCTTTTCCAAGTAGCATATGAACACGTACAAGCGTTGGAGAGCTTTGTGATGCCAAAGAGTAATGGGCAGGGGAGAGAAGAGACAACACATAATATTTGCTGCTCTCATCACCATTGCTGCCATCAGAACTGATCCGTGGTGTGTTAAACTGCTTGCTCCTGTGTTCCTGTAAAAAATGCATTTTTTTCTTTCTCACCGATTCTTTCCTGCGAGCAGGAAGGTGAGAGCGCACGTGGATTAAGCTGAAGGACACGTGTTACTAGTTAACAAGTTGCTACTAGCTTACCAATGTGTTTCAGGGATTATGTGGGGCGTTTGGGTTTGCTCGTTATTGTGACAGACTTCAGCAAGACTGGGAAGCCGCATCACATGAGGCCGCGTCGATGACCGCCGTGCGGTGGAAGCAGGCAACCCGAGTGCCATGTGCATGTGGTGTAGGTGATCCTTCCCTGCGGTCCACGGCTCTGCTCCAGGAATAAACCCCCAGAGCCATGGGCACGTACCAGTATGCGATGAGGGTAGAGAAATAATCCACGTGTATCGTGCTGTTCGGGGTGGTGTGATTTGTAGCAAATCTGGATGGGGAGAAATTCCGCTTACCAGGCGAAGGAAATTTTTTTTATTATGCATTTGAATATTTTCAGCTGAAATTGTAGTGTGGCACAGAGTAGCTTTTTTGCACCTGTGGCTCTCTAGATGGAACCAGCAAAGTTTCCAGCTTCCAGTTGGTATTTAACACAAGGAGAGGTGTATTGTCTGCTACTGCCACTTGCAGCTATGTTTATGTGTAAATGTTTGCTCCCACTCGAGTGCCTGATGTTAAACTCCTCTGAATGTTAATGCAGGAAAGGGGTTTAGAAGCGGAGTCCTACCAAAAAAATTTAAAAAATGCATTAGTTAAGCCTCACTTTTAGGTGACAACAGAGGAAAACGCTTTCAGTTTCTCCAGTCTGGACTACAACGACATAAGAAGGCACAAGCTGTCTTGTAAATCTGTGGTAAAGAAAAGAATTAAGACAGAAACTGTATTTATTTCAGTCATTTTTGAGATGGGCATATTTTTACTTCTGAATAATTGTATACTAACACTTTATTTTGCTAAAGACAGGCTGCATATATTCTGTCTTGTTATACAGTTATGCAAATTGGTCCTTATGTTGAGAATATCAATTTTATTATATTTCTGATTCTTCACATGGTGGTTATCTCCTTTTGAAAGCTTGCTGGGATCTCTGATCTTTGAGTGGCATTTCAGATACTCTGGGAATAGGTACTACAGCGACTCTTGCAAAGAGGTGGATAGATGCACAGTTGTTGTTTTTAAACATAAGGGAGAGAGCAGACTGTAATGTTTTGGAGGAAAGTTAAATTTTACCAGATGTGGGGGGGTTTTTTGAGGCTCTTCCCAGGCATTTCATCCAGATTTTTCATTTGTCTGGATAATTTCTCTTGGTTTAGCAAATGGCAGTTTCAAGAATGACAGATTGGTGCATGGTTAATTTTCATAGCAACGGAATTGATTGTTTGTAATCATTCTTCAGTTTGTTGGATTTTTTTCTTAAACACAGGGTATAAACAATTATTGCAATTAAAAACCAAAGCTGTCCGAGTCTGAATTGTGCTTGGGCTGGAAGAACGTAGACTGAAATGGGATTTTTCTCACTTGGCTAAATTTCAAGGCAGTGAAACTCAGGCTTGTTCAGTGGTCAGTGGAGAGCAAAAGGGACTACTTGCAGGAGGGGTTCAACCCACCTGCCTGAGACTTGTCTCCTAAAGCAAGATCTTTGACAACTACCTTAGACAAAGACAGCCTGAAAGACTACTGCTTTTGGCTGAAGTTAGGTGAAGCGAGTCCCCTGTTCCATAAGGCATCTTGGCTTCCATGCCAAACAGCTTTCCAGGTGACTTTAGACAAGTTTCTGTAAACTGAAAGACACTGAGTCCCTTGCTCTGGTTTGCAGAGATGACAATATTTCCCCAACTTATGTGGTATCGTTAAGATCATTTACTTAAATGTTCAGAATTTGAGATGGAGGAGACTCTGTAGAGGTCTTACTTCATGCGTTTTTAAAGCTTTTGTTTTGTATTTACAGAATCCCATTCCTTCAAATGCAAGAACAGGAGGAAAGACTCAATTGATGTTAAGTCAATAACATCTCAAAGTAGTGATGGTAAGAAAGTAATCTGTCAAGAATGACATTATAAATAAAGAACAGACTTACCCTAGGCAAGAAAAATGCAGAATGAAAGAGGAACCAGACAGATTCACAGCTGATTAAACAGATTACTCCAGTTTTTTATAACTTCTGTGAAATTTCTTTATTCTGATTTGCAAAACAGTGCCCCAGCATGAGTACCAGCCTCACTATACGATGCATGGCAGCGCGCGGTGCCTTCGCGGAGAGAAGGAGGGGCTGTGCCACGGTGTGGGGGGACAGCCTTCCAAAAGAGTGCGTGGTGAGGCGTTAGTTCCACCTCTCTGCAGGTTGTGCTGCCGAACCAGTATTTTGGATTCGTTGGCGTGGGACATGAAGGCATCCATCGCTGCTCGTTACTTGGGAGCAGTACTTCTGCTCCGGATCCCGTTTGCGGCTGCTTGCTGGGGCTGGGAGAGTGGTGTCGGAGATTTCTTGCTGCCCCAGCATGCAGTGAGAGAAGCACAGCTTATGGGGAGCTTATGGGGAGCGGGAACGGGTTTCATGCGAGCACCTGTATCACTGAGATGAGGGACACACGCGCATACTCTCACAGGAGGAGCCATCTCTGACAGAGCTCCATTGCAAACAAAGGGAGAGTGGCAGGTCCTGAGCATGAAGTGTAATATAGCTTAAGAATAGCTTCATTTGAGCATAGCTGAAGTGATGGATAGACGGAAAAACAGACAGCAGAAGTGAGGGGTGGCTGCAAAGGAGGTGGAAAACAGTGCAAGAAATGGAACAGTAGAGCAAGAACTTGCAGGAGGAGAGATACAGGAGAAATGGGAGATGAGGCTGGATTCTGTCATGCTGTCCCCCAGTGGCTTCTGCACTCTTCAAGTGCTGTCCTCTGATTTACACTCGGCGGCATGTAAACGGTGCTCTCTTTAATGGCAGCTTCAAGTTTGCAGACCCGACGGTACTCTTCCATGGCAAGGATCCACTCGATGACAATAGAAGCTCCTATCACAAAGGTGAGTCCGGAGCACTGCCTTTTCAATAAGCTCTGAGTTTGGAGTTGCTCTCGTGGGGAGGTCTGTAGATTGTGGCAGGACAGCCAGAGGTTTCCTGCACCTTGTGTTTAACAGAGTAATTTAAATCAATTTTTTTTTCTCTTACTACTTTCTGCATCTCATCGTCTCATTCCAAATCCTAGCCATAAGGCAGAATATTAAACATGGGAAAAGGGTGTCCTTGCTAGGTGCAATGCTTGTGGCAGGAAGGGGACCCTGTCCTGCTGGGTCATGCATGTGTAGGAGGGCATGTGCTGCCAGTCTCACCTTTGCTCTTACCATTCATATTTATAAGATAGCATGCAGAGGAGAGAGCACCTGCACCATATTCTGTCCCGCTACTTTCCTGCAGTCTTTTATTCCCTATCTATCTGTGTTATACGAACACTGGTGTCGCAAACGAGCTGCACAATCACTTGTCCCACAAACCAGGGTGCCTGCTGTCTCCCACCCTCAATCAGTTTTTTCCTCTCTCCCCATCTTCTCTTCCTGGCATCCAGCTCATCTGGACTCTTCCCAGCACCATCATGCCCCTTAGAGCAGCTGACTCCTTTCACAGAATCACACAGAATCACTAAGGTT